TGATCTGGAACTGGAAAAATCACTGCCAAGTGTAACTCCAAAGCCGCCCATCAGTTTCAGGTGGACATCAACGGGATTTATTAAAGACCCGAGTTCTGGTGAATCGTTTTGCGAGTAAGTAGCTGGGTTTTTATAGATCCGAATTATTCTGGTGTAGGTATAAGCAAATAGAATTAACAAACCCAGCTTGTGGTGGCGATCGGGCTGCTTAACTTAAGATCATCCAATACCAAAGCAATCATCAAATTGGCGTGGAATGACTATGTTTTATATTTATAGCCAAGCATTCGCGACTCCGTTCATGAACTTGCGCCGCCAAGTTGCGCTGAGGTGGCCCATGAAACTAAATTTCACTATCGCAGCAACTGACCTGTAAAAAAGTTTAATAAACCCCTGCTGCTGAGATTCCCCACCCTCGTGTCTGTAATTATCTACTCTGGGCAGTCCGAAAGCTGATACGTTGTGTTGAAGACGGTGAAACTGTTGCAGTTTGCCTTATATTTTTTGAGCTTACCTTAGGTGATGTTAGTGTGCGTTTTGTAAGGTATGCAGTTATGGTCATTCTTGACTACTCTGAGTCAATCATCCACAAAAGGGACCGCATTACTGACAGTCATTCGTGATAACTTGTAGGACGGATTTTTGCCTGCTTATCCCTCAAATTCAAAAGTTCACGGGTCAAGTTGACCAGTTAGGAAGGAATTAGAAAAGTTTCCGTGTAAACAAACATCATACTAGATCCCGCTTAGTACTTGGTGAGGACCCAACCTTTATGGGTTTAGATTTCTGTGAAAACAAGCAACTGAGCAGGTGACAGACGCACCCTATCTCAATGAATTAACAAATTATTTTATTGCTTGATTATAGATGCCCTAATGGAGTGGAAGATTAACGCTGAAATTGGGGAAATGTAGCGGACTGTAGTGCGTTAGTTCATTCTTACGTTTAACAGTCCAGCTAATATTAATCCTATATCCAGTAAATCACGTGGCAACTCGAATATACTATCCTCTTCTGTTCCAAGTTGGTACAAGAATTTTGAGTGGTGTGAATCTTGTCGCCTGAGAACTGTGCACCAGTAAGCAACCACAAGACAATTCCGCTTGTGTTACTTAGCACCGAAGAGTAAGGGGTTTTGGTGACTTATGTAAAGGGACAGAAAACAGCCAGACCGAAATAAACGAATCCGCTGAAATTCGCCCGAGTCTTCCCTTAATGTAGGCTTATTGTAGAAATGACTATCTGTCGTCACATAGGCACACATAGGCTTTCAAATACAAAGAAAGTTTTGGGGAAAATTCAGCGATCGGACCTACCTTAGAAGGATGGAACTAGTAAGGGGTCGTGCAAAGTTTTCAGTGACCTGACGAGAAGTCTCAGATATACAACCAGCAGGTTAGATCATCTCTTCACTCACCTTTTTTGTGTTGAGTCATTACAACAAACGTTACTAGAAAGACAAAGTTCCAGCTAGATATCTGGGTCGGTTCGTATATTCCAAATTGCATTAAAGGCATATTGCTATATGCACCATTTCTGGTGTGAACGCAGTCAGAGTCTTGCTTGTGGCACTAATTGGCGATGACTTATTCCAAGTTTCGTTTCCTATTTGGTGAAAAAGGCTATTATGTTCGTCATTTGGTATTCACGAGTCCGCAGTGGACGAAATCTTGGTCATCCATTACCATTAGTATTGACTAACAAGAATAGCCGATGGACGTAATACACTACTCATAACGTTGCTGATACCCCTTGGACAGCCTACGATCGGTCCGGTTTCGCCACCCTTGAGGCTCGACAGGTAAACGCAGACTCCGTCAAACGTGAACTCAAATTAGATAAATTTAAAAAAATACACTCATTTGCGGATCAATTTGTTCTCGACGGCAGACTCACCAGCTGGATCCCTCAATTAATGATATCCTCAAGCATCTGAATGTGCCGAACAAGGCCTCCTCATGTTTCAGTTGGTACTGCATTCAATAAATGGCTTGGTAACATCATGAACAAGGGATTAAACTGGGTTTCATGTGATTTCCCTACCGGAACCAAAGTGCAATGCAAGAGAGTGTATTTGTCTAGTATCCGATGGCATTTTACTCGCGGCCAATTGAGGTAGAGAGTCCAAAATTTCTCCCATTTTGGATCTCTTTTGCATACTTGTTGAGACACAGTATAAACAGACAAACAGCCAATTTTACTCTCACACTGTGGTGTAAATAAAGTGAGATAGAGGAGCGAACATTCACTGAATGTCTTATTTTCCATCCTCTTTAGAATGACTCGAAAGGTTAATTTTACAGTGAGCTTTTTTGCATTACATTTTTACGGTAATCTGTTCAACCCAGAGACCTGAACGTTCATGTTTTCATCATTGATATCTAAGTGTAAAGTGACTCTTGATAAGTGTTACCAAATAATTAGCCATTCCAAAGCAAGGCGTGATTGGTAGGTAGGTGGGAGAAAATAACG